CCTCCTCCTCCTCCTCCTCCTCCTCCTCCTCCTCCTCCTCCTCCTCCTCTTCCTCATCGTCCTCCTCCTCCTCCTCCTCCTCCGCCTCCCCCGCCTCCACAACTGCACAATGTGAGTACTACTCTTCTCTTTACCCGGATGACGTCCGCAAGATGTGCGCCCCCCCTTCCGCGCACTGCGTTTTACATACAGGATTCCGGGGAAATAGGTTCTCTCGCTCTGGTTTGCTGCTATATGTCGTCGGTTTCAGGAAGTATTGAGCGGGAGCCCCGCTTCTGCTTCGAGAAGGCGATTTTGAAAGAAGAGCCAACGGGTGCTCTCCATCAGCCCCACCTTGTCTGGAGCTTTGCAGGGAGCCCAAGGAGCTAGACATGGAGCCGCGACTCCAGACCGGCCCAATGCTCTCGCAGACGATCCACTTCCCCTCCAAGGAACCCGGCGCCATGCCATGACATGCTGCGCGATATTGTGTTCTGCGCCGCTGTGCGATGCCATGCTTTGCGTTGCAATACTTTGTGATGCAATGCTTCACCGCGCAATGCCACGACATGCTACGGCATGCTACGCTCTGCTGTGCTCTTCTACGCCATGCAATGCCGTGCTCTACCATGCATCGCGTACCCTCTCGCGATCATTGTCCTGCTCGACATCCGACTGTGCGAATCGAGAAAATATCTACGCCATGGTGAGGGATGGGAGGGAGGGGTAGGACGTCAGATATGGCGCGAGCGCACCTAGCTTGCCCTCCTCCTCCTCCTCCTCCCCTCGCCCCCCCGCGGGCCCCAAGGATGGCCCGAAGAGGCCTTCCAAGGCCACCCTCTTGCTCTCAAGGATGTCTCTGTTCATCCTGGTTGCCCGCTTTGCTTCATTATAGGTGTCCCTTCGTCCCTCTTCCCGTCAGCTCTCGTGGGCAGGGTTCCTGAACGGGCTGGTGGGGATTTTTTAGTCAGCGGCCGCAGGCGAGCGCGCCAGCGGCGAGTCCAGTCAGAGCGGGGCGCGCAAAGACGAATTAACCCAAAGCGGCGGGCCGAAGCCTCACGCAGCACCTCAGCGGCTGGGCCGGCGAGTGGGAAGGGCGCTGGTGGGGATACGCGACGAGTGAAGAATCCTCATCTGGCCTCCCCAAGCGGCGACCCATACCTCCACGTGGCTACCCGGCCGCCGCCGCGCTCCCGAGGCCGCCTCGCGCGCTGGCTGCGTCCACGGCGACCCACTGCGTGTCGAGCCCCTCGGGCGGGCCAGCCCCGGCGGGCCCGTGTCGGGCACGGCCGCGTGCCGGCGTGGCCCGTGCCTGCAGGCGCAGCGCCACGCCCTGCCGCCGGGCAGCCCGACCCGGGCCCGACGACTCTCCTGGGCGCATCGCCGATCGGCGGCGCCAACCCAGCCCGGCATCGGCCCTGCCGCTCCTCGAGCACCCGCGCCCAGGCGCGCGCGCGCGCGCGCCCGTCCGGCCGCGCGCGGAGCTCGGCGGATGGCAGCCGGCGGCAGGGCCGAGGACGAGAGCGGGCG